AAAATTCTGTCCGCGCTCTTTTACTATTCATATAATAATGAGATTTGAGAATGAGAGTTAAATGGTTGAGCGTAACGCGAAATTCATACTATGAGCTTGTAAGCAGAATTTATATTTTGCCGGTTATTTCATACGAGATCATCGAGCTGGGATTAAGTTCTAAATATATCTAGGTGTTTTGTTATCTAAGCAAAGTTGGAAATTCGCATCGATGCGTTTGAAACGCTGGAAAATAAAAGTTTTTCGTTCCATCGAAGCGCGTTAATGAAATACTAATTTACTCGTATGTATTTTACAATAATTTACAATAATACCTCCGCTCTGACGTTCTACTCTAGGCTCTCATTTTAATTATTTATTTACATGCGCGAAGCAGATTCAAATCCCCTGATTTCACTTGCGTGTAATGCTCGAAAGCGCAAAGAGATAACACGTGCATTAAGCGTGTTCGAGTGAGAAAACGATACAATGCTATTTTATTTAGTCCCGCTTATATATTACTTATATACCTTGAGATAAGACAGAGGATATCATATATCATTACGAAAACCATGTTTTTAATTATTTTAAAAAATGCCAATAAACAAGAACAGCGTAGTACGATGATTCTTGAATGTGTATATTTGTTCCCTTACATCTTGCCGTACAACTATAATAGCAAAATGCATCTTTCTATATGATTATTAAGATATTTGGCACGTATAATTCTTAAGAGCCAATAGTATTTTACAGATTAATTTTATGGCAATGTAGATTACTATAAATTACGAATGTAAACTATGAATGAAATGTTAAAGTGAAAAATTTCAGACAGAAATCATAATCGGCTTTCCTTTTATCCTCTTTCGAACATCTTACATCTAAATTTATGCTTATTGGTTTAATTAGGATAGATTAGGAAGAAGAAAATCAGTAAAATTGCAGCCAATTTACAAAACATTTTTTTACCTACGTTGATTTTTCTTATACCATCGTGAAATTATAACTGCTTTCCCGTTATTTGCTTTCCACTACTTTTTCCATATTAAAAATAAACGCTTAAACAGAAAACGGATGCTAATATAGATTTAAAGTAAATTATTATTAATTTTAATAAACGTTATCGTATTGATACAAACAATATATCAGAATGGAATATATTTCTGTAAAAAATATTTTTTCCTTATTGTTATAATCATTAATATATTTAAAGTTTTAATAATTTCCCATATCTTGAATAATTTTTTTTTTTTTTAGTAAACAGAGAGTTTAGTAAACGGTAGTATGAAAACATTTTGAATGTTGATTAATACGATTAAGCAAATGAGCCTGTACTTATAGATTTGTCCATAATCATAAAAAAAAAAAAAACCTGTTATTCACATTAAAGTGGCAAAATAGTAAAATTACCGCATATATTTAATATATACAATTTATTGCCAAAAATGAATATAATCTGCAAATTAATGTATTAAAGGTTTTTTTATTATAATTTTGAAATTTATGATAAAAATTTATTATAAAAATAATAAATGTGGAATTACTATGTGAGAAGATAATATTGATAACCCCATAAAATTTTTTTTACTTTTTAAATGCGATTTTATTTTTTTTTAACAACATTTTCTACGTCATTATTTCACTTGAAAAAATTATAATTAATTATAGGGGTTGATGAATACTTATTTAATTACCGACTGGATGGAGTAGAAGGCTTGTTTCAATTTTAATTAAAAGTAATGATAATATTAAGAGTTCATAGGTTATGAACGAATTCAATAATAAACCACAGAACTCGCAATTAAATTCAAATATGCAATAAATGTTATTTATAGTTGTATTTAGATATATTTTATTTAGAATCATATATATATATATATATATATATATATATATATATATATTACTTTGAAATACGTATAATTTGACGAAGCTCGTCCGTAATAGGTAATTTATTATTTTTTTATTCGACTTTCTTATTTTCATTTATTATGCAAATTGCAAAAGTTTATTATATACGTACGTAAAATAATTAAAAATTTTAGCTTTATTTAAGAAATAAATCACATTTACATCGGAATAAATTTATTGTATATTTTTGTTATAATAATCTTATGCTGAATAAGATAATTTACACATTGTTTTGAACATCAATATGCAATCTTCCAATTATTATTTTACCAAAAAAAAAAAAACACAAAAAAAAACAAAAAAAAACAAAAAAAAATTGCTATTTTGCATGTATAATTATTTAATGTTTAAAAAATTTGACAATTTGTATACAGTAATTAATTATGTAGTGTGTAAAGTTTGAATTGGAAATTTTTCAAATATTCAAGTATCTTGTCTTATGTAATGCTTTATCTCATAAATCGTACTATTATTATAATTATTATTGATAAATAATTAAACACTTATCGTACATTGAATGAAGAATATAAATTACATTATAGACCGTTTATTACAAGTTATTCATATACAAATATCAAATAGAAGGAATTTTATAATTATTTAGTATTAAAAAAAAAACAAAAAAAACAAAAGAAAAATAGCAACATTAATTCAGTTACCATTTGATAAAATTTTATCAAGTGATATTGAAATAATCTATTACTAAATAATATTTTGATAAGACTATAATTAGATTTTTGTATAAGCAGATTTTAATTATTATAGGATTATAATAGACCAGGAAACTACTAGCTTATAATAAAATTCATATTGTCGCAATAATTAAAATTGAAATAAATACTTATAACAATGCTTAAATAAATTTTAATATCTCACAATTACCTTTCTTTTATACAGATATTTTTATAGAGAGATTTTGTCTGTTTAATATAGCCTCTTAAGTTCTTAGTAAGTATTTGAAACTTAACCTTCAGGAAATGAAGTACAGTAACAAAAATTAATTTTTCTTCTTTTTTTTTCTTCTTTTTTTTTTTTTTTTTGATATTTAAGCGATGGATTACAAGCTCTTATGTGAATTTTTGTTGTTGTTTTTGTTGTTGTTGTTTTTTGCTTTTTATTTTTGTAGACCAGTCATCGTGAAAACTGACAAATTTGCATCATGTTTCATGAAAGTACGAGTGTGAAATTACAGGAATACGATTAATCTGAGGGAAACTAGAGAGATTGGCAGGTAGGCAGGCAACCGACGAGAATATTTTTTCTCTTATTTTCCATTTAGTAGCATGACGCGTGCTCCCGATGATACAATAACTTATTAACTCTTTTGAAATCCCTTGAGAAAGTCGGGATATAATATTAAGACGTAGTATATATATAGACTGGCAACAACAATCTCACCATTTATAGAAGATATGGTGTGAACCTCCTGAAAATGCCCTCATTGTTTGGCGTGACTAATAAAAAATAATCTTAATCTTCCATTAAATCCATTTTGAAATTCTGTTTAATAATCCTTTAAATCCCCAAAAAATGGAATATGGTACGAAGAAATCCATATCTTGTTCGTGTGTTTCGATCAGCTTTCATCTTCAAATCGAATAAATAATTCCGGGAAATCAAGCTAAATCCGGTTTATCATAAAACACATTTTGTCTAACTTATTTCCACGTTGAATCGTATAGAATACAAGAAAATCAAGTAAGCTAGTGTAAATTACATTTGTACACCATGTTCCCAAGTTCTTTTAGTTAGAATTCTTTGGAGGCATTGAATCTTATTTATCATCTTATTTTTTCATTTGAATCCTCGTTTTTATTGTGGCAAGTTAAATGCGTTAAACAAAACTTACGTTAGTTATAAATAAACTATATTCTCTCTCCATCCCTCTCTCTCTCTCTCTCTCTCTCTCTCTCTCTCTCTCTCTCTTCATGACTCATCAGGGATTTTTCATTGTTTTACTGTTCTTCAAATGTGTTTCATATTATTCTTGTTAAATTATTTATAACATTGAATTAAAAGCCGAATTAACACATTATTAAATGATCAAATATCTTGAAAGGATAAGAAAATATAATATCGTATGATATTACAATAAGATAAGGGCTTTTTGTACATGATGAAACTGAGCAATGTAATATGCTTGAAAATTATTTTTATTGAATTTTTCCAACAGCATGAGACGATTAAAGCTATTTAAATGAACAAAATTATTATTTGCTAAATTGGAACTTTTATTTGAACGTATTATTGGTATTAAAATTTAGACAACCATACTTAGGAGTACATGTGTATATAATAGTATATGTATATGATATAATTAGGAGTATATGTTTGTTTAATATCCATTTTAATCTGCAAAAATAATTATAGAGTACGTAGCCCACTTATGTGGGGGATGATTCGCCTGCGATTTTCGCAACTCACGTTTATCTAAAGCACATGGAAAATCCTCGAGAACATTAATTGTGGACTAGTCTTGTTAAATATATTCCAACACCTTGAAATTATTCCATCCCACGTGCCTTGATAATGCCCAATATTAACTAATTTTTATCCGCTCATCGAACGCAATCTCCTTATTGATTGGGTCGCCGATATTTCTTTAGCGTTTCGAGGGAAGTATCGTTCACAATCATTCCGTCCCTTTCCACTACCATCCCCTCTCGTGTCAATTGTTCCCGAGTTCAGCCCTAATCAACACGGAGCCAACTAATGAACGCGCAAAAGTCAACGAACTAGCTGTGTTATTAAAAGAGTTCCTTTTTTCATTTCAGGCGATCGCCGCATTATCGTCGACTCGACAACCCTTCACAATGAGAAAGAAGAGCGACGCGCAGTAGCAGCAACCCTCAGGCACCAGCAGCAACATCAGCAATTGCAACAGCAACGACGGCAGCGGCAATATAAGCATCATTGTCGAGCGGCATGATGCACCGCGTAATGGAAAAGCGTGGGATCGATGTGCACGGGAAGTTTGAGGCGCCTGCCTGGGACATGATCGCGGTGTAGTCGCGTGCTGCGATAAGACGATAGAGATAGAGAGATAGATAGATAGAAAGATTGAGAGAGAGAGAGAGAGAGAGAGAGAGAGAGAGGACGACGACGACGACCTGGAAGTGACATCGAGCGATATTATGACGGAGTACCTCGACCCACACTTCATTCGGGCGCTGTGCCGTGATCCCGAGAGGCGGACGCTTCAGGTGAGTATCTCTGGGAGCATCGAGTGAAAGCGATGAGAGCGTATGGATGGCGAAAGATGGGGAGCGGAGCGCGGAAGCGGACACGGACTTCGTTATTTCTGTTTCATCTCGATCGATTGTTTCGGGTATCTCTGTCTTGCAGCAGTTATCCTGTTCGATCATTACTTAATGTGCTGGAGCATTGATGTCTGCATTAAAGCAAAGGCCAATATGCCTGCCAAGTTCATATATTTTTTATTATAAAATAGTTTTAGTCCAAGGATAGTTTACAAAGCCACTTTCTTAATAAATAATCGTTTGCGTAATGAATCGGCTTCTAACTTGGCATCTTCCACAATATATAATCCTACGACTAAAGTATGATTGATCGATAAAGAAATAAAGGTCGATTAATAAAGTCAAATGGAACTTTCACTTACGTGCATCTAATATTATTCGACAGCCAATGCATAAAACTCACCGGAAAAGAAAAACAGCGGAAGCATCTTAACGTGTAAATGAAAAAAATGAGGCGCGAAGCGCATGAGAAGAAGACGAGAAGCGACGGCTGGTAGTAGGCAGAGCATGTAAATGAAAATTTTTGCGCGCTTGTATTGTCGTCGAGACAAAGTAGAGTTAAGACAGAGACTGAGAGAGACTGAGAGAGACGGAGAGACGGGGAGAGAGAGAGAGAGAGAGAGAGAGAGAGAGAGAGAGAAAGTGAACGTGCAAGCATGAGGCAAGTAAGCAAAAGAAAGTATAAGGGAATCACGAGGAGGATGTGAGAAAGGAGAGCAAAGGAGTGTGCGCGAGGCTCTTTTCATTTTCGCCAATGGCATGATCCAGATTGACGAGCGGCCGTACCCACGTCTTTCTTTTTAAATCTAACCGCGGTGAAATGCTTTGTTTTCTTTTCCCTCGGAGCTTCGTGAATTGGGTGGCACGAAACGCGAATTGTCTTAAATCAAAAGAGACAGGGCCTCCCGTATTATCGGTGCTCGCTATTTTTGCATCGCTGCATTCGTGAGCGAATAATCGTTGCGGACGCATTGTGAAGTGTGTTGGCAGTTTCGTGAATTATCGGTGGAGTGATAATACCTACGGGAGAGTTCGTTATTTAGCTTATTATTAACGGATATAATGCGTTAAGAAACGATTTTAATAGTCCGGCCATTAGTTTGCTAACGCTTAAAACTCGCTTAAATAGTATTGCGTAAAAATTAAGATTTACGATTGACATCCAGTAGTTGGTGAAACTTTTTGTTTTCGTTTTTTTTTTTATTTTGGTTTTTTTTTCTTCAAACCACGATCTAGCTAAATACAGAATTGACTCTATTTTTAAGAAGGGCTTGGATTATACGTAAATTTAGAAAGCGTGTTAAGATCTTGCATGCATATTTCATTCGTATAAAGGAGACAATAATAAAAATATAGATACGAATCTCTTTGAAACAAAACGAAAAAAAAAACGAAAAAAAAAACGAAAAAAAAAAACAAAAACAAAAACAAAAAAAATTAAGTGAAAATAATAGGTAGCGTCTCGACGCACCCGAGTCGCATTTAAATAACAATGGTCGTCGTAGTAATAAAAAAAGAATATGCTATCTCGAAATTTGAACATCATGTCTACTTGGTATAGAAGCTCGAAGCCAATCTATTATTATTAGCATTTATACATGATTCATTGACAATTATTCAGCACGCGAATGGCAATGCCAAGAAGCTTTTTGTATGTATGACATTTAGCTGCAGACAGAATCTTTTATTCTCGGTTCTTGCATATTTCAGTGGCTTGCCGCTAGCATTCCGAAAAGTGCTATAAAATCGAAATCGTCGATTACAGCGGTGAAAGAAATTCTTAGATAACACAAGGCGTAACAAACGCGTTACGACCTTCTTCCAACATTTTTTTTTTTTTTTTTTTTTTTTTTTTTTTTAAAAAATTTGAAATGCCATTATGAAATGCCTGAGTTTGCCGTAACTCGCGACGATCGAATTTCGCGGCCGATCCACAGCTTTAATCGACAAACTAATATCGATAATAACACATCGTTCATATCATTATTCCGATTGCATTCCTAATGAAAAGTCTCCCTTCTCTAATATTACCAACATAATTCGTTGCTTATATAACATACAAATTACATACCATACGCGAAATAATATAAAAAAAAGAAATGCAACGTGCGTAAAAACTGCTTCACGCAGCATGTTTTCACATTTCTGACTGAAGTCTAAAACCGAAAAATATATTTATATCGCTAATGCGCGTATCGGAGGATAAAATCTAGCTTTCGAGATTATAAGGCAAACGCCTTAACCCTACCGAGCACGAGCTGAAGCTGGTATTCCAAAACTTGTGATCGGATGAACAAAAAATAGTCCCATATAGCTTGGAAAAAGCTATTGTACTTGCTGAAATTGGTCGGCTCGATATTTTCCACGGGTAGAGGGTGGGGGAGGGGGAGGAACGAGGGGGGGGGGGGTTAAGGGGGGACGAAGGAGGGCGCCACTGTACGCCGGCCCGACGTTAGGCGCCAAGCTCAGCCTTCGTTCGTTGTCCCCTCGTAATCCGGATCCTTTATCTCTCCCTTATCTAGTTTCGCGGCTGGCCAAGGGTGTCGCGTTGTCACGGGCTGCTGAATCAAGGGCGTTGGATTTGAATCGATCCGAGTCGAGTGATGATCGAGCCAAATGTAAAAGTCGCGGCTCCTCTAGTCGGTCGAAGCGTTCTCGAAGTCACCGCGGCTTCCTGCCAAGTGCCAATCGATTTCTTAACAATCGCAATCATCCGACACCCCCTAAGGACGACTTCGGCTTGGCCAAGCGCTTAAACGGACGAAGGCGAGGACGTGGACGAGACGACCCGATCGGGACTCTTGGATTCATCGGCAATGCTCTACAATCATCCCCTCGACGCTCCCTTCGCTTAAACTCATTCCAATCGAAATGTCTGACTGGCGTGCCGATGTCTGCCGATCAATCCAGTTGCTTTATCCCGACTCGCTTCGTTCGCTCAATAATATCGCCAATAGAGCCGCTATATTTAACGTCATTATCAGCCTCGAGGATTCCGAATGCGAATTATTTTACAGGGCGCCGCAATATCCCACGTTTATTCCAGTAGGTAGAACTTTCATGGCTAATTATAGTGTGCCAAATCCACTACTGTAAGAGGTAAACCCAAAGGCGTTTTTTGTAGTTTTGCTAGAAGCGTAACGGTAGGCCGTACTTATTTCATTGATACGGGCATTGTAAAGGGAGGCGATGAGGGACGAATTGGGGTGGTGCGGGTTGGGTTTGATGGGAGGGGGTACGAGACGTGGCGAGGAGGTAGTAGTAGTAAACGAGCATTAATTAATTAAACTAAATGCTAGTACGTATTGAGAAAGTCTTATCGGTTGGAGTTGAATTACTAAAATCTTGATAGTCGTTCAATTCGTTTAAAACTGCCGTTATTTTTCTTAAGCGAGCCAAGCTTATCGATTCGTTTTGCCATCCTAAGTATTACGCACGTGACGATCTCGTTTGATGGTTTTGATGGCATTCGGTGCAGTTGCGTTGAAGAAAAATGTGCAAGTAATGAAATTACCGAATCGCCCTAGGATTTATCATCTATTAATAATGACTTTTGTGCTTTTATTATCCCTTCAATTTTCAAGTTTCACTTCCTCAATCTTCGGTTCTGCATTATTTCAGCAATCCGTCGCCTTTATCTTTCCAATCCACTGTAAGAACTTTTACATGAAAACATCCGTGGCTTCTTCGTAATCGCCGAATGTCAAGCTCTTAGAGTACATCCTTGTCATCCTCGCCCATTATTCGTTAAATAATACTTTGCAATGTAATGTACGCGAGCATCGGTGCTAAATAAATATGAATTATCGTCGTCCATGGAATTAAGCGCCGAGTACCAAAGTCAGTACGCCACTTTGCATTAAATGCTATAGATTTTCAAGGGCAAGGTCGCGTGCCAATCTGCGTGTAATATAATAAAAGAACGACAAGTACAAGTGCTCCTTGATTCAAGAGCTCAATTTCGTTCCATAAAGTGGATATCATTTCGTAATTGAAGGGGGCGATGGTCGATTTAAGTATTTAGTAATTCCTCGAACGATCATATCGGACTAATCTGACATTTAAAAGTTAGCCGTGAGCCGAAGCGAGTTGAACGCGCCATTTAATTCAACAGCACCGATTACATCAATTGATTCTCTTACGCGCTCTTAAAACCTTCTTACTTCATTATTCCACTTATTCGGGTGCGCCAATCTAATTTAAGACTTAAAAAAAAAAAAAATAATAATAATCACATTTCCAGGACGGGCCGAAACCGGGGACTTCTAATGGCATTTAAGGTCCATTGACACTTCCTTTCCTTCTCACCAATTTCGACAACATACGAGCGGATTTACCGACACCGCCAAAGCTTTTCTTCAACTCGGGAAAGCAGACCGGCGCCCGGTCGGCTAATCTCATGGTCACTCGATACTCCCGACCCCTCGCATTCCATAGACACACGTAATCGAGTGAAGAAATCATGGGATCGCAGGAAACGGACTGCGAGTGCTCCCGTCTATTGTCACGGACTCGGG